TAATTTTTTGGATGAAGTGGACCGAAAACTTGATTATTTGTTCCTTTCGAGTCGAGAGCCGAACATCACAACACAACCCACGGTGAAGGGAATCTGGACAAGTAATTAGAGGGGCTGTACTGATTATAAGTAACATTTGCTGACCTCTAGCCAGTCAAAAGTGTGCAAATATTGCCCAATCTGAGAATATAGATCCACAGAATGTTAGATTTTCATGGAAGTTGTGTAGGGTATCGTATGGTCGGCCCCGTCCGACTATATTGCTCCGCTCACTGGTTTTCATATAGAAAATGGTGATCAGAATTATGAGCTGATCACCATTTTTTTCTAAGGGCAATTAGGACTATAAGCGTAGATTCCCCCAAGGTTTTGTAGGTATGTGGGCATTGATAAAACAAATGTATCCAGGAGTATTAGGCGTTGACTTTTTAAACATTTCCAGAGGACCACCTATACTAATAAAAGAGTAAAGTGGTTGGCTAACTTAACGATTAATCAAGGCCCAGACAAAACGGCTGAAGCTAGAATCTTAAAATTTTGGGTGTGACCCTCACCCTTGACCCAAAGGTGACAGATAGGCGGGTTTTTTGAAATTCGTACTAGAACGGTACGAAAAGTGGTGGAGCTAGAACTCTTAAAACTCCGAAAAGTACCAAAATGTTGAGAAGTAAGGTCGATATAAGAATATGGTTTTGAAAGCGTGTACTCATGTATACGAAAGGTACTAAATTGTACTAAATTTGGATTTAAAGAAACAGGTGGAGCTGGAATCCTGAAATATTTAATTAACATTACCGTCGAAGTGTAGGATTTTGATATGTAGGTAGTTTTAGAAATGTGTACTTATGTGTACGATAAGTACTATATATGGTACAATTTGGATTTGGGTGAACACTGAAGTTTTGAATTTAGATTACTACTGCATTGTAGAATTGAGTTGGTAGTATGGGAAATAATTCGTACTTATGTGTATTAAATTTGGTACTATTTGGATTTAGATGAACCGATAGAGCCAGAATTTGTTTCTGTTGCGATAGGAATACTATAAGAGAACATAGAAACTAAAATTTAAATATGGTTTGTATTGGTTTTCAAATAAATCCCACATTCGCCAACGAAGTAGCGGGCATATGCTAGTTAGACATTTTTTGGTTTTCCCAAGATCTAAAGCTACAACCGAAAAGTCATTTTAAGAAAGAAACGCTTTTTGTATAGCATTTCCTCGAGGACTGTTATGTCCATTAAATGGAACGTTTCTAAAACGTTCCCAAAATTAAGGCGACATATGCGAATGTTTAAGATTTGTTTCTTTAAAAAAATCTTTTCGGTCTTTTTTATGATAGGCCTGGAAATCCAATGTGGATATAGAAAAGAAGAGTCCCATGAATTGGGATAAGAGTCTATATTCTATTAACTTTTCGCGTGGGCTATATACGAGGATTATTAAAAGAAATTTGATTTAAAATTTTACACACTCATTGCTACTATTGTTTGTTACTGAAAATGGGTCATGTCGTTCCATGGGTTGTTATAGACCCATATAATGTTACGTTTTTAAATCGAATTTGCAGTAATTCTGTATTTTGGATTTATATTGAGTAGGAAACCAACCTTCAAAAATGATCAATATCTACCACAATTTTAGACAGTATTAATCATTTTTGGTATCCATAAAACCATACCCCCATTGTTTTTGAGCATCTTTAGCACCACGTAGTTTCTAATTCGATAAAATAAATCTTCCCACCTATCAATATCTGATCTCGTGTTGATTTGGGCCCACAATTATTGGGCACCCACAATTATTGGTATTTTGTAGATAACAGACATATGGGCCCCAAGTTGATATATGATATCTTCATTGAATTATTGAATAGCCCCTTTATAAATGTCTATCCTCTTTATAGATATTTGGGTGTTCATAGACGCAATTTCCAAGTATTTAGCACTACGGGGCGGTGTTTCAAGATTTTGATGGGTAAATTACTTCTTTAAAGAAAATGTTTCCATATGGGCCAATGTTTGTAATTTTGTATTCCATTTTCTGCATTTTGAATCCACTCCATGTTGGTGGGCACAAAAAGTTCGGGTCAGTCGTTGTTAATAAAGTCTAAAAAACTAAGGCGGTCCTGTAATATACAAACAATTTTCAGGGGTTTTAAAGGAACATTGCCAATAGTTCTCTACTCAGTTTAGAGTAAAAAATCTTAAAATTTTCAAAAAAAACTCTAAATCGGGAAGTGTTTCCTAAACATAAACGAAATAATTTCTTGTAGAAAAATATATTAAATTTCTTCATTCATTCAAACCCCCCAAAAAGTTAAAGATGATTTCATTCGCAAAATCCTTCATCTTAAAAATTCGCATCGTTTGCCAATATCTGAAATAAAATTATGAATAAACTTAAAAAAACTTGGTTTGTGGAGTACAAGTGTTTTGTTTTTGGTTTTACAAAAACAAAAACACTGAAACCAAACACTTTGTTGGCCATAGAATTTATGACGGCACCAAAACGACGCATATCCTCAAACTCCAAAAAAGTGAAAAGCACATATTTCATTCCCACTTTCGTTGTAATATTTTTCTTCTTCCACTATTGCTATTTGCACAAAAAAAGAAAAATAAATGTCTATGTGTATACAACAATAATAATAAGCCAGAAAAAAAAAACGAGAAAGCAAAAGGGAAAATGAAAAACAACAATAAAAATTCTCCCCAAAGATGTCACAAAGAAATAGAAAAACGAATAACAAAAAAAGGAGCAGTCATGTAAAATTTTGTTCCAAAAATAAATTACAAAACCGAAAAGGAAATCCCAAACAAAAAAGAAAATCAAATCGGCAACAAACAAGCAAACAAATATATTATGGAGCAGCAATTGTATAGCGGCGAGAGTGAGTGAATGTGTGGAGAGATAACGCGAGAGTAATAAGGAAAAACTTAACGAAACTTTGTTGGTTGGTTGGCTGGCTGGCATACACGTGCTATACACAATCACACACACACTTACATGTAATTAGAAAGCAGCAGCAGCTAACGGCACTTGTGCCTATACCAGAGATTATGTATATCCAGCCGCCCCCTCCTTGCAGTGTGTAATGTAATAAAATACAGTGGCCCAAAAAATACTCACAGTGTGTGTGCGAGGAAAAACCACACAAAGAGAGAACAATAACACTGAGAGCGAGAGAGCTTGTGTCTGTGTGTAAAAATATGACAGCATAAAATGTAAACTAGTCGTCATTTTGGGGTTTTCCGTGGTGTTCCGAGAAATAACCAAATCAAAAAAACTCAGTGTGGAAAAAAACTTCACAGTGAGCGAACATATAACTATATGTGCATCCGTGTGTGTGTTTCCTAGTGTTTCTGTTTTCCAATTGGATTTTTTTTGAAAAATCCAATTAAAAATATATTTATTTAATTTTTTTAGGTTTGTTTTGGAAGAATTGAATGCAAGCAAGCAAGTGTAGAGTGCAAGGTTCCAAAGAGAATTTATTAAAAAAAATTGCAGTGTTGGAACTGGAAGTGAAAAAATAAAATAGTAAATAAAAGAAAATTGCCAAAGCAAAAATTTTGGGAAAAAATTATTAAAGTGTATAAAAATTATAAAAAAAAAACACAACAACAACAAAAATATCATCGTTAAAAAATCATAACAAAAATTTCAACTAAAAAAGAGTTTCGTTAAGAATTAATGAAGTGCCTGTTAAGGCCTTCAGAGAATAGTTCTTTCAAAGAAATTTGAATAGTGCAGCTCCTTCATGATTGAAATAAACACCAACAAAAAACAAATTCTGTAAATAGTTAAATTAACAACAAAAACAACTGTCATTCAAACATCTCCGTCATCATTTGTCGAAAATCTAACCAAACCAAAAAATACTCGGATTCGGTAAATCAAAAATTAACCGAAATATATATAGAATACCCGTTTAAAGAATACATAGGAAAAAATTTAATCTGTGATTTTTGTGATTTATTTAAACAAAATTTTCTCCATTACACAAAAAACCAAACCAACAACAACATAACCAAAATTTTTTCAAATTATTGTTTTAATGTTTCACTCAACACCACAACAAAAAAATTAAAACATCATACTGCTCTGTAAATATACTCATCATTACAACAAACAGCGGAAAGTTTAGATGTAAAAATAACAACTACAACATCCCATAAATAATCAAAAACAACAACATTCAAAAATAAAAATTGGAGTTCGAAAAAAAAACAATTGAAATCGGGGAAAACAACAAAACGTTTCAACGAATTCGGTAAAAAAGAAACAACAGAGAATAATACAACAACAAGGAAATCGTGGAAAATTGTAGTAGTATAAAACAACAACAACACATTACTTTAAAGTAAATACTACGAAAAAACATAATTCTCCTGATTTTATTTTGCTGATCGCAAAAACCATACATAAAATCGTGGTAAAACTTAAAATCATCTGACGATTCGAACCGCAGTTTTGGATTAGACGAAAAGCCAAAGCCACATTTGCAGCAGAAGCATTTAACACTTCGTCAATAACACTAAAACAAATTTTGTCGTACTCTTGTTTCCTGTTATCCTGCTTGAAATACTCGCAACACACACACATACACAAAATAACCCCACTTGAGTGTTGCGTATTTTTTCTACGCTCTCCGACCAAAACAACAAGGCAATACACACTCTCTCACATAGAAAGGAAACTTGTGATAATTGTCACCGCCGACGCCGCTCTTTTAAGTTCAGCAAAACGCGTCTATATGTGTATGTAAAAGCGCGTGGTCGTCGTCATCATCGTCGTCGTCCTTTTTGTAAGTGTGTTGTTTAATTAACACCAATAAGAGAAGTACCACCACAAGGAGAGAAAAATAAAATCAAAAAGGAAAAACCCACAAAAAATAATAGTAGCCGGAACAACGGAGTAACGAATATATCCGAAATAAAACACCAACCGAAAAAGCCCACTGTCGTCGTTGTAGTCGTCTAAAGGAAACTCTTCTTATTATCTGTGTCATCGTCATCGTCGATTGCATGCCATGTGTATGACGTGTCAATCTACACAAATGTGTGTGGCCGTACATCTGGTGTAACACAATTATGGCCGAGCGGTCGTCCTATCAATATCAGAAATTGGATATACTGACGGTAGGTAACATTTAATATATATCTATATACAAACATTTTGTTTTGGGGAAAGTGATTTTAAAGAAAATGCTGAAAAAACGTTGTTATACCAATGTGTCGTTTAAGTAACCTTTACTTTTTTACCAAATGGTTTCTATTTATATTTCGGATTCATCAATAATAACAAAACTAAATTTAAATTAAATTAAAATTATTTTTTTAATAACTCAGTATATGAATAAAAATAAAATTTTAGTTTCTAAAAATTAAGGAAAATGTCGTTAGAAGATTATCGGTCCTCTACTTCGGTACTGAGGTGCCAAAAAATATTTTTCAAAGTAACATACCTTTTAATATATACAGATATTTTATTAACTAATAATTTTTAGTACACTGTAATAGGGTACTCTTATAATATCACCCCAATGACATATCAGTATTCAGCAGCTAAGGAATTGAATCAGTCTCTTGGGAGGTATATCACGAAAATTAATATTACCTAGTAAAAAAAAAATTATAAAACAAATTAATAGAAATCAATAATCATTATCTTAAGTTCAAAAATTTATAATTAGGATGGGGAATCATGACATTGAAATAGGCAATCATTTAAAAAATTGTAATCCCTCTGCTTCTGTCATTCGTAGACGTCGAAAGTCAGTATATTTAATGTCAGGGAATGAAATATTATTATCTTAGCTTATGTGGGCATGACTCATCAATTCGATATCCTCAAGTTTTCTAAATAATTGTCAATTTTTGGTCGAGGCCATCCTTTGTATGTCACTTAGATGAAATCAGGCGATTTTATCTATGGAAGCTTCGTCTTCATGTGGGGCGAGGTAGGATAAATTTTAGATACATTATTACACTTATGCATAGGTATAAGGGTATTATAGCTTTATGTGTCCCCATGCGTTTGTAACGCCACGAAATATATCTCGGACCTTTTAGTATACCGATCGTCATATCTCGACTAGCTGAGTCGATCTAGAAATGTATGCCCAGGTAAAATAAATTTTACATACATTATTACACCTATGCATAGGTATAAGGATATTATAGCTTTTTGTGTCCCCATGCGTTTGTAACGCCACGAAATATATCTTGGACCTTTTAGTATACCGATCGTCATATCTCGACTAGCTGAGTCGATCTAGAAATGTATGCCCGTCCGACCAAGTTATTGACCAATCGTCACGAAATTTAACATGAGATTCCTATTGTTATTGGTGATGTTCGGTTAATATTTCGGGGATAAAATCAGGGACGTACGCAGAGTGGAAGCCCGGGGACCCGTGTCCTACCCGAAATTATTTTTTTCACAGTAAATTTATGTTTGCAACAGTGAATTTTTTCATTTTGTACTACAGGGCCTAACCACAATAGAAGAAGGAAATGTCGCGTTGATAGAAAGGAAATTTTGCATGAGGTTCAAGTTAGGGTCGCCTATAATTTTCGATGTTGATCAAAAGATATTTCGGGGATGAAATGGACCGATAATTTTATTTTGTTTGGTTTTCTAGTGGCTCTAGTTCTGACCAACTATTTTTTATGGCTGTCTTGTTTGTTTATAATAAAAAAATTTGAATATTATGGAGTATATTTTTACTTCGGAAATACACGATTCTGAAAATATGCTGCCAAGGGGCTGTTGGCCTCTAATTGGTAAAGAGAGTGCAAATATTGCGAAATATTTCCCTGGCTAGGAATATAGGAACTTAGAGTTCAGTTGTAGTTGTATAGGGTTCACCGCCCACTGGTTTCATATGCCCTGATCAAATTCATCTGTCCTGATCAAATGGCACATTTTATTCTATGAACGATTCTGGGTCACTTGCAAAATGTTCGAATGTTTGGTTCATAATTTAAATGAAATCGGACGATAGAGACTCTAACTATATCTAAACCGATTTTCATCAATCTAATAGATCCCAGCTAATCTCGATATATTGTACAAAATGTTATTTCAATAAGAACATATGTTTTGTCTTAGGCTCATTTAGATGAAATCGAAAGAAATATGTATTTTAAAGTAAATAAAAAACATTAAGGGCTACTGTGTATATTTTCGGTCCAATATTTTGCGTTTATACTGGTTTGTTATTTTTCAAAGTATTAATAGACTTTTTTCTAAGCTTAAGACAAGATTTATATCAGAAACCACTTTCGAAATAAAGGACTCATATTTTGAATATATTTGGGAGACGATCTTCTATACATTGAAATTACTATTGAAAAATGAGGTCTAATGGGACCATTATTTCCAATTTAGCACTTTTAGATTTATCACATTTTAAACTTATTTAGCACCAACAAAATTGATATTGTTTCTGGAATTTTTAAAAATGTTTGGTGCTTTTGTGTTATTTCAAACAAATTCGACATTTGCACATTGATATTTCCGTTTGTTTCACGCTATAATTTTGAATTTCCAATATAAAAAAGTAAATTTTTTTTAAAGTGGTAGTACCCGACCGTATGTTTGGTTGTTTATTTGGGAAAATGAAAATCCAAATTAAGAGATGCCTTTGAATGGGAGCGATATAAAAGTCATAAACTTAAATTGGAACATTTCTTATTTTTTTTTTAATATTCTAATATGAGGGCTATTGTGAAGATACAAAATAATGAAAAGAGGGTGGTACCGTTATATGGTAGAACGTAGACCAGTATTAATATTTTTTGTGGGAAGGTTTCACACCACATTATAATCAAAAGTGAAAAATGATCGTCAATTTGATTGAAAAGCGCGACCGTTCTATGTGTGCTACCCCGAAAACATGGACCAATATTGATAATTCTTGGTAGGGATATTTTCTACCCAATAATAATCCAAAATGTTAAAATGGAGCAATTTCGGTTGAAAATTGTGGCGAATAATTGAGGCACCGCACTATGGGGCCTACACCGAAACATGGACCACTATTAATGATTTTTGGTGGGGTGATTTTTTACAATGATAAACCAAAATATCAAATTAGTGATAATTTGGTTATAAAACGAGTTAATTGGGTCTATCCTAAAAATTTACTAATATTGATAAAGAAGAAGCATTGAAAAAACGCTTCAAAATATTTAATATTGAATGAAGGATATATCCTATCAATTTCTTTCTAAAATTTTTTTAAACTTTTTTGAACATTTCTAGAACTTTTCTTTATTTTTTAATCAAATAATGATCAAATTCTCAAATTGTTTTAGCTCTGATTTAATTTTTCAGATTTCGTAGTAAATCTAAAAAGGTTATTTTTTTACCCATTGAGATCCTGATTCCGATTATTGATATTTCTTCTATACATTTTATTAAAAACGGCAAAACTGATTATATGGTATAACACGTGTACCGTGTGTCTGCCATTATAACTAATCGATTTACGAGGCGCATAATTTCTCGATTCTTATCAAGGAGATGGCCTGGCCTAAAACACTATTTTTGTATGTTTTCCTAATCATTCTACAGACCACAGTTATAATGCGAACACTACTGAGTTTTCTTCGGGCCTTTGATTAAGCATGCATGTGCTGATGACCATTTAGCACATCTAATTTTATAGTGTGAAAAGGGCTCGGATAGGGAAGATTTAATATTACTATTACTACTAGCTCTTTTTACTATTACCATTAGCACACTAGAGGTCGTAAATGTGTGACAACTGTCACTGTAATTTAAATTGGGAACATGGTTTATTTCTGTTATATGCATTTGTAATTTTAGTTTCGTGGGATATGACAATAAATCAATATCACCTAATTGTTAGCAATAAAAAAACAAATCATTTAACTATGTTAGTGCATTGGTGTTAGATTTTGAAAATTAATCACATATGCAGATTTACACCTACGTTTTGGATTTTGTCACTAAACGAGCGGACAACTGTACAATTCTTACCGATTGTATTGTTTTCCATGCAACTTAACATTTAACACCAGCAGTGTAATTTAGATCATTGCAAATTGGGTTATTGAAAACGATTTATAACTTATGATGCAATTTTGAAAATTAATTGAATGTATATCAAACAAATCAACGTCTGTCATATTTGGAGGCGGTACAAAGGAATTACAACTTTTCTGAAGAGTATCCAAACTTTTTTTCTCGACTAGTACATGGCAAGTCAGATGAACATACAACATTTAACAAAGATAATGATATGGTATATGATTTCTTAAGGGATAGAAAACCCCCCTATATTTGAAGTATTTTAAAAATCGGACTTTTATTTTCCAACCCGATGTGACTGCAATATAGAATTACAGGAATATTTTTATATCAATATTATTGTTCTTCGATTGGTAGAGGGTATACAAAGTTATGACTGGTGGAACATAATGATTTTTTCTTGTATTTTTTGAATACAATTTTTTCAATATTTTCAAAGCCCGATCACTTCTGGTCATATCATCCAGGTATTATATTGGTTAACAAGAAACTTAAAGGGAAGTTTTTAGCTCATTATACCATTACAAATATGAATCAAATCCGAGAGATTTTATTGTAGACTACATTTGGCTTACTGACGTCTTAGTATTGAACATGTGTGTAAAAAGCTCTATATACGACTTTCTTTTTTTCTTATAAATACCAACATATTGACTCTCTTCGAATGAGACTAGATCTGAAAAATCTGAAAAATATTATTCGGGAATAAAAAAGAGGTCCATAATAATATAGGCAGGAACTTCATTCTTGTTGAAATAAATTCAAAATCTTAAGCCATATTTAATTTTGTGACACTCCTCAGCAATGCACGAAGTTCCATTTTTAAAACTAAGTAACATAAGCCCCAAGGGATTCTCTTCTCTAATAATCGTTCTTTTGTTCTTAAATACAACATAAATTCTACCCTGACTTATTTGCATATTCTTGGCACATCAAAATTGCCATCGAATGTGTCATTTATCAGTTTAATCCTTATAATAAATACATACTCGTACATATCTACATACATTGCTTCTTCATCTTAGGGCATAGTTTACTTGCAGTTTTTGACCTCAATAGAGTCGAAGCATGTCATCGT